GAGTACAATCAAGTATTACCGAAAAATATTTTGTTTTATTTTTTATTTTTTTTAATAATCATAGACTTTATTTCGGAAGAAAGCAAAAGTATTAATTCATTTTGTATACTATGCCCAAGATAATGTTTATGCATACGAATTTCATTTGTAATACGTTGAACATGATCATAAGAAACCATGTCAAACTCAGCCAACATTTCAATTAAGCCTAAGAAATTTCCACTGTTATTTTCATACAATTTCTCATTACTACCACGAAATGCTAGATTGTATTTAGCAAAAAATTTCACAATAGCAATAATTCTCAACAAAACGTTTCTCCAATGAACTTTTTCTTTTTCTAATTGTTTTTGAGCCGCATTATCAATAGTTTTATTTTTTTCTAATCTTAGACGCAATTCATACCAAGTATTTATATTTTTTACATGTTTCATACTAGTTTCATGCTCTTTAATTCTACTATTAAGATGTATCCATTCCCCAAAACCCTCATTTGCTAATTGACCCTTTCCACACCATTTTCGAAATTTTTTACAACAAAAACAAAATATTTTATCACTTTATTTAGAATAAACAAGCCAATCCCTATTACATTTTTCTCCATTTGGTAAAGTTTTAACAAAATATGTTGCAGAAAATCTCCTTAAGTATTTATCTTTAGGACCTTTTATAATAGATAAATCTCTTTTAGGATCGTTTAATGCTAAAATATTTATCATATTAGAATCAAGAGATCCCAATTTATTGGATCAAATATATCAAATGTTTGAAAATCATTGACATTATCATTAACATCAACATTATCATTACCAACTTCATTAACATTAGCATGATCAATATTAGCATCATCAACATCAACATTAGTATCATTAACAGTACCGTTTTCACTTTCTTATAAGTTTGGTGTCTGTTTAATAATAAACTTATGCATAGATCCTTTTTGTTTTTTATTATCTTCTTCAATTTTCTGTTTCTTTTTACGTTTTTCATATCCAGATTCATATTTTTTAAATCTAGGAGACATCCTAAATTAGAGAAAGGAAAGAAACGACCTTATTTTCGATTTGGGGATTTCTTCTTGGTTCTTGATTCTCAAACCCAAGTAGTAAAGTATAACACAACTGCAACAGAAAAAAACATAAATAAAATCAACAAATTATATTACATTAACAGACATTCAAATCAGAAAACAAATAAGAAAGAATGAAACAAAATCAGATTTTTGTGTACCTTAAAAAATCAGAAATTGATTTGTATGTCCTTTAAATAATCAAATTTTCTAGAAGCTTTTGAAAAGAGAAATAAGAAACATATCAGAACTCATAATTACAAATCATAACCAAAAACAATAAGTAAAAAAACGAATTTGATTTGCTTTTACCTTTAAAAATTAGAAATTGATTTCTAGTTCCTCATAGTGATTTTCGAAGTTGATATTTGTGAAAAAACTGCAACTTTAAACAAAAAACAACCAAAAAGATTATAAGAAACATATCATGATATCAAGTATTTAGAACAACAAACATAAACAAAAAAGAAAAAAAACGAATCTGATTTACATTTGTTTTTACCTTGAAAAATCAGAAACTGATTTCTTGTTCTGATTTTTGAAGTTGATTTGTGAAAAATCTATACTTAAAAAAAACAACCACAAAAAATTTACCAGATTATGCTTCAAATTTTCGAGAATAAAGATTGTAAAAAACAAATCAATTAATCAAAACTAAAATCAATTAATTTGAGAAACTGAAAAAAAAAAAAACAAATCAATTGCCTTGTACCTTATGACTTCAAAATTGCAACACTTGAAATCTGATTTTCGAAATTACATCTAGAAGAAACTTTTCTAATTTTCAAGAAGATTACAAGACTATTGCTACTGATTTTCGAGAAGGAAGAAGAAGGAAATCAAAACTTCTTGCTTGTTCTGATTTTCGAGAAAGGTGAAGAACCGAGAATGAACTCGAAGGCCTTGTATAGTTTTAATTGACTGATTTTATACAAACCTTGTGTCCGTTGTTGCAATCAAAAATCGGAGACGATTCAGTATCCATAATGAAAATCGAAGGGTTTTTCCTTTTCCCCAAATTTCGTCTAACTTCCCGCTAATGATGATTGATTGGCGCGTGCTGAATCTTGAGGCAAAAAAATGTAGACAATAAATATTATTAACCTAATTTATATTTGGGCCTAAACTCAACCTAGTCTAATATATATGTTAAAAAAATTTGGGCCCTATGATTTAGTGGACCCTGTTAATGGGCACACTTTGAACTCCCTTTGGGCCGACCCTGTAACTCCGGTTAAGATCATTTTTCATAAATAATCTTATATCAAAATGTCGTTTTTATCGTTTATTCTATTTTAATTGACTAACTCAAATATGCAGGCGTCACAATAACATAGGTGGTGTTTTTTTTTTTTGCAAATCTTCTTGGCCTCTTTGTCTATGCCGTGCAGACCACACACAAACATTAGTCCTCGTAGACTGTTTGTTTCTTAGAATACCACATACCTAAAAAGGTATGCGTGTCATCTTCTTGACGCAAATGTGGATTAATGTCTTCTATCATCTCCACACATATTCTAACATAAAAAACACATATATCTTTAAAAAAATAATAATAATTAAAACTTAGATTTATGCAGGTATGACCCGTACACTGCAAAACATTCTACCTTAGAAAAGATAAACAACACCATAGTTAATATGAAAGACTAATATTGTAACAAAAATCAAAACTAGGGACATATTTACAACAAAATTGAAACTTGGACTAAACATGCAAATTCACATATACCATAAGGACCACCTTTACAATTTACTCAAATATCAATTACATAATTTTAATCGAATCTTAGTAAAAATAAATAAAACCGATAAATGATCATGGACACAATAGGGTGTTTGACATTCCTTTTGAAATGATTTTTTGGACTTTTGGCTTTTTCAAAAAGTCAAAAGTTTAAAAAGTTGTTTGGTAACTTCAAAATAGGGATGAACAGTTTGTCCCAAAACCCGATCCCGAACCGGTACCGTACCGAAACCGATACCGAACCGTACCAGATTTGAAAATATGGGACGGTACTTGGTACTCCAAATACATGAAATTCAGGATTCGGTACCACCGGTACCGGTACTGGTGATGTTAATTCGGTTCGGTACTCGAGATTGACTTTCAATAAAATTCGATTTTCGGGAAATCGGGAACGGTACGGGTCGGTACCGGTTCCGTCCCACGCTCATCCCTACTTCAAAAGATCTTTTAAATTAGCTTTTTGAGAAAAAGAAAAAAGAGGTGGTTAAGAAGTCACGAATATATGACTTTTGACTTTTTTCCCTTTGAACCCTCAAAAGTTTATACAAACACATTTTAAAACCTTTTTTTTTAGAAAAGACATAAATCAAAAAGTCATTTTCTAAAAATGACTTTTTAGGCCCCGTTTGATAGTTGCTGACTAAGAAAGAGCTGACTGGGAAATGTCTGTCTAGGTAATAAATCATGACTGAGTAAGAAACCATGTTGTTTGATTGTACATCTGACTCAGTGTGCTAATTGATAAAAAATGACCATTTTACCCTTCTTCCTAATAGCTTTTGAATATAAGCATGACAACATTTTATTACTTTTTATATGCATGTTCCAATAATTCAAAACAAATGATATTTAATAACCATATAACATTCAGATGATACAAAATTATACACACATACAAATGATATCACAATAAAAAAAACAATCGAAGCCATAACATTAGATGAAATAAAAACCGACAACTATTCTGCCGTAAATACATTCTATAACCACTCCACCAATCAGAAGTGAAAATCAATATAAATTCAGCCATTCAAACATTCAATTATATAGAAGATATATCCATCCGATAACCACATAGCCATCTAACCATTCATATGACACAAACGACACATAAATATGATATAAAAATCAAATGAGATAACAATCGAAAAAAAAGTATATTTAAAAGCCAAAAACATTAGATCATTTCAACAAAAATAAATAAATAAATAAATAAATACATAGTCGAAGCAATAACATTAGATAAAAACTATAACATGGAAATCGAGTGCAAAAAAAGTGTCGAAGGAAGAAAAATCAAGTTGAAGGCTTTATTTCTTGACTCTTGAGACTTGAATTTGGAAACATTGAGCTTCTTGCGACTTGAATCTTGAGGATTTGAAGTTTGTATAGCACAAGGTTGGCTAGAAGACTGAAGAGACGAGAACCCCTGACTAATTTTTAATTTTGGAGAAATAAATATTATTGTAGATTTAGGGCTTAGGATGATTGTAAAAGGTGAAGGGTGAAGAGTAAAGAATCGAAGAGTCTTGCTCTGTGAAATCAGCAAAATCAGTAAACATATCCATGAATTCGAAAATTCAAAACAACAAAAGTTGAACTTTCAACAACATTCACCAAAAATCAAAACAACAATTGAAATGAGGAAGCAAAAATCGAAACATCAAATATTGCAGAAATCGATGTTGCTGGTCGATAATGGCTAAAATCGAAAGTATTATGAGACGAGGAAGGAGAAATTGAAAGTATTACCTGATGAGAAACCTTCGATCGGTGCTTGCGGGTGACGTCGCTTGCTGGAAGAAAATAGTTGAAAGGGAGACGCTTCGTTAGGGCAAAGGCTATGCGTGGAATGTTTTCTTCCTTTCCAAGTCAGTCGAATTTCATTTCCTTTCCCAATCAGATTTATCTTTTTGAGTCAGATGGATAAAAATTATTTATCAAACACATTTTGCTGACTGAGTCAGCCAAAAAAGTCTGACTCAACTCGGTCAGCCCAATATCAAACAAGACCTTAGTTTAAAAAGTAATACCAAACACCCCTGCATACAAAAGCAATTTCGCAAACATATTATATAGGCACTTGTTTCCATAAAACGAACAAGATTGAAAATAAATCACCAAATCCTGTAACAACTAGAAATATGTGTAGTTTTGATGCCCAAATGTAAAAACAAAAAACTTGGTACTCTACTACACTCTTTCCAAACGCAACTTCACAGCAAAATGAATGCAGAAAGCCAGAAACCCCTTTCATAGCTCACTCTCTCATCTCTCAAAATTTCGGGCGAAAACCCTCAAAATCTGTCAATTGAAAAAGAAAAATGGCGGATAAGGGCAAAGGGATCGCTGATGATTATTCATCAGGGAAACGGAAGCACGATGGAGACGATAAATCTGCTTACCGGAAGAGAAAAAACCTCAATGTCCTCCAGTTCTTCGAGGATTCCGCTTTCGAAAACGAGGAGAGCGATTCTAGTGACGATGACGTTTTTATAAATGACGGTATAAACATTAAAAACTCTTCCGATCATCGTCATCGTCTGCATTTTTGTTACATTTTAGGGTTAATTTGTGATTTGTTAAAGTTAGGGTTTATCTTTTCCTTTTAAAGCGGGTTTTGGTACTCATGGTTTCGATATGGTGGTATTTGATGGAATGTATCTAGCTTTTAGGGTTTCATGGAAAAATTATTTTGTTGTTCGGAGGGTTTTGATGGGAACTTTATTTTGTTGTTCAGAAGTATACATTTATACTATTTCCGATCATCATCACTGTTCGACTAATATGATGTAACTTCATGAATATGGTTTATTTCTCATTTCATGACTTATATACGGGTAATTGTAGCTCACTTGCTGCAAACCTGTAGTAGATATGGGGTTTATTTTAGGGTTGCATGTGAAATTTATTTTGTTACAAACAAACACTTCTACCATTTCCGATCATCATCGGTTTACTTCTCACTTGCTGCAAACTTGTAGCAGAGATGTGGAACACTAATTTTCCTACAATGTAGTTTTTGTTTTTTGTTAATATTTATTGATGAATTTGTTTTGTAACCTCTGCCTGTATAGTTATCATACATGGACTTGTTTTAAGAAAGTTTCATCACCTCTTTAATTTGAAAAACAAACTAATTTTCATACAATGTAGTTTCTGTTTTTTGTTAATATTTATTGATGAATTTGTTTTGTATACCTCTGGCTGTATGGATATCATACATGAATTTGTTTTAAGAAAATCTCATCACCTCTTTAAATTGAAACACATATACACTGGGCCACCTGTACTTTGTTTTGTGATGCTAGGATAGCAACATCATTAGTAATTTGTCAGCACTTGGCATTTATATTAGATTTTAATGTTTTTGTTTATACTTATATTAAATTTCTTACTGTCTAACTGTCTCATGTTAAATTTACTTATTGTTTCTTTGCTTCTGTAGTGTTTCTTGAAGATGACTTTGGCCCAGATATCGAAGTCAAGGCTGAACCAAAGACTCCTAACATTCCCTTTTTTCCTAAAGAAGAGGAGATGGATGAAGATGAACTGGAGAAAATCGTAGAAGAGCGTTATAAACCAGGTTCTACTTTTGTTAGATACGCAGAAGACCAAACTACTGAAGCTCCAAGGTCGGATGAAAAGAACACATATATGTTATATTCGAAGGATCCAACAATCTGGAAAGTCAAATGCATGGTATTTTTTTCTGTAGCTAAGTTGTTTAGCTTGTTAACCTGCTTTTAGGCCCTAGTTGATGTCATTTTTTAACAAAATTGACTGTAGGTTGGAAGGGAGAGGCATTCAGCTTTTTGCCTCATGCAGAAGTATGTTGACTTGAAGGCTCTCGGAACTAAGCTGCAAATAGTTTCTGCATTTGCTGTTGAGCATGTGAAGGGCTTTATTTACATTGAAGCTGAAAAGCAATCTGATATTAATGAGGTGCATTTGACTAGTTTTCTTTGTTCTGTTATATTCACCATTACATGTATCTCTTTCTTTTTATATATATCTTGCATGCTTGTTATTGTTCATCGAAATGATTGTTTAAGTTTCCCTCTTAATACAGGCATGTAAAGGTCTTTGCAATATATATCCAAGCCGAGTGGCTCGTATTCCAGCTTCTGATGTTCCACATTTGTTCTCTGTTCGAAGCACTTACAGTGGGGTAAAAGTGGACACCTGGGCTCGTGTGAAAAATGGGAAATACAAGGGAGATCTAGCACAGGTACATTTCTGTCTCACCTACCTTTCTATTTTCTATCTGAATTGGGTGTTCATTGTCTAGTCACATGAATGCAGGTTGTGAGTGTGAATGTGACTGGAGCTCAGAAGAAAGTTACTGTTAAGCTTGTCCCAAGAATAGACCTAGAAGCTGTTGCTGAAAAATTTGTAATGAACTTTTCACTATTGTTACAATTATAAGTTTTCTGTTATCATCATGTAAAGTAATTGTTTTTCTTGTTTATAGGGTGGAGGAGTTAATGGGAAGAAAAAAACAATACCAGCTCCTAGATTGATTCCTTCCAGTGAACTTGAGTACCACACTTGCTCTTCTTTCTGATATGAGTGATATCTATACATTTTTTGGTGACACCTATTCATCAATCTATCTCTATCATTTTGTGTAGGGCATATCGACCACTAGTTCAATATAGACATGATCGTCAAACGGGAGATACATATGAGGTTTTTGATGGAATGACACTGAAAGATGGCTACCTTTACAAAAAAGTGCCATTGGATTCATTGAGTTTCTGGGATGTCAGGCCTACTGAAGCTGAGCTTATAAAATTTATGCCTGCCAATAAAGAAGAATCCAATGATGTAGAGTGGCTTACTGGACTTTTTGGTGAACGTAAAAAGAAAAAACAAACAGTAAATAACGATAAAACAGGTGAAAAAGGAGAGGGGAGCTCCAGCATGGAGAATAGTTTTGAAGTTCCTGATCTTGTGTTCCATGGGTATGCTCTCTCTCTAACTCTCTGATCTGTTCTCCTTCATTACCTTTTTTTTTTTTTTTTTTGTTTATACGTTTTTTTTTTGTAATTTTGTTTGCAGTCGCAAGTCATTTGGGATTGTAATTGGGAGAGAGAAGGATGACCGCATTAAGGTGATAATGTTATATTTATAATCACTCTTCTTTTGACTGTCGATTTGGTTTCTTATTTATTTATGATATCAACATTTTATTTCCAGATTTTGGAGGAAGGTACAGAACGGATGGTGGTAGTGGCAGTTGAAGCTCGTTTGTTAAAGAAGGCTGATTTTGATAAGAAATTCAATGCCTTGGATCAACATAAAAAGATCATATATATGAATGACACTGTGAGGGTCTTGGAAGGTCCACTAGAGGTTTGTTCTCGTTTTAAAAGCTTCATGTTCGTTATCATCAAAGTTATACTTGAAATGTATTATATAACATCTGGTGGTTTGAGTAAACCTTGCAGGATAAACGAGGAATTGTCAAGCAAATATACAAAGGGGTTGTGTTTGTATATGATGAGACTCTACAGGAAAATTGTGGTTACTTTTGTGCCAAGGCACAGATCTGTGAAAAAATGGCATCTTCTATGGATTCTTATAAAGGAAAGGTTAGTTGATCATAGATTACTATATATATTTAGCATTGTAGCTGTTCTTTCTTCAATATTATTAAAAAATGTTTATGTTTTGCAGGGTGGTAAATCAGGTGGGTCTGGTTTTGATGATGTCCCATCATCACCCAAGTCCCCTTTATCACCTAAGAAACCTTTTGAAGGGATTGATAATAACCGCAACTGTAAGTTTACAAGCTCTCATTGCCATTTAATGCCAAGGGTTTTCAAACATATAATATGATCATATTCTTAATATTCTGATTCTGCTGTGCTGTGCATGCAGTTGAAGATAAAGAAGGTTTCTCTGTTGGGCAGTCATTGAGAATACGTGTGGGCCCCCTAAAGGGATACATGTGCCGTGTCATGGCAATTCGATATTCAGATATCACTGTCAAGCTTGATTCCCAGCACAAGATTCTGACAGGTGATCTTTTTTTAATCATATTTTGTTTTTCTTGGGATTTAGGAGGTAATCCTTTTGTGTCTGCACTGCAGTTAAAGCTGAGCATCTTGCTGAGGTTAAAGGAAAAAGTTCTGGGGTTTCCACTGGGTATAGTGGTTTAAACTCTCTACTTTATATTTTATTTGCTACCCCCCATAATCTCTATCCTGACATTTTGTTTGGTTCTCCAAAGGGATGGGCAGGATTCTGCAAAGCCATTTGATTTGCTGGGTGAGCCTGGGAGCTCTCAAGGTGGGAAATTATATTTATGGTTAAAAAATCTTTTTTGTTCTTTGTTTTAGATATTGTATGTCATCTGTGGCTAATACACTATTGTATCCTTTAAAGGATGGATGGATGGAGGAGCGGCATCTGAGCCTGGAGGTGGTGGTGGAGGCTGGAATACTGGAGGCCAAACTACTGAAAGGTTTTTATCATACATAACTTGTGTATAGAAACACAAACATAAGTTTACAACTTAGATATATCTCTTATGTATTTATCTGATGATTTGAATATTTTGTATATGTAGGAGTTCTTGGGCACCTTTTCCTGCAGCAGGCTCATCGGTTTGTTCAGATCTTAATCTACTTTCTTGAAATCTTTCTGTCATATGATAATTGATTTCTTTCTTGGCACAGCTTCAACCAGAATCTGGTTCTGCAAATCCTTTTGGTTCCACGGATAATGATGCCAGTAAAGGTATGGATCAATATGTTGTGTCTTGTTATTTCATAATCATATCGTAATGTTTTAAATTCTTCTTATTTCATGACTGGAAGATGGTGGAGGTTCTGCATGGGGTGCAGCTGCTGCTAGTGAAAAGAAAGAAGCTGGTGGCGGGTGGGGAGTGAGTTCAAGTGGTGCTAAAACTGAAAATTCAGATGAGGGAGGATGGGGAAAGGCTGCTGCTGCTGCTGGTGGTGAGAAGAAGCCAGCTTGGGGTTCAGCTGCTGCACCTGCAACTGAAACTGGTGGATGGGGCAGCAATGCTGGCGGCAGTAACGATGGTGAAGGGAAGTCGTCAGCTTGGGGCTCAGCTGCTGCAGCTGCACCTGCAACTGAAACTGGTGGATGGGGTGCCAATGCTGGCGGCAGTAACGATGGTGCAGGGAAGTCAGCTTGGGGATCAGCTGCTGCTGCTGCACCTGCAACTGAAACTGGTGGGTGGGGTGCCAATGCTGGTGGCAGTAATGATGGTGCAGGGAAGTCAGCTTGGGGTTCAGCTCCTGCAACTGGAAGTGGTGGATGGGGTGCCGCCACGAAAAAAGATGAAGATACTGGGGGATCTTCATGGGGTAAGAAGGTTTCAGATGAAGGTGGGTCTGGGGCTGGTGGTGGTTGGGGGAAAAGTGTGTCTGTGACCGGGGGTGAATCTGGAAAGTGGGGGGGAAGTGCTGACAAGGAAGCTGAAGGTGGATCTGGTTCTGGTTGGGGTAGTAAAAAAGATGAAGGGGGGTCATCATGGGGTAAGGCAGGTGGTGGAGGGGGGTCTTCATGGGGTAATCAAGATGGTGGATCTTCTTGGAGCAAGCAGGATGGAGGTGGTGGTGGTGGCAGAGGTGGTAGCCAAGGAGGCCGTGGCAGTGGTGGCTGTTTTAAGTGTGGTGAATCGGGGCATATGTCTCGGGAGTGCCCACAGGGTGGCGGTGGAGGTGGCGGGAAGTCTTGCTTTAAATGTGGTGAGTCGGGGCATATGTCTCGAGAATGCCCCCAGGGTGGTGGTGGTGGTGGAGGCGGCGGCGGTGGCAGAAGTTGCTACAAGTGTGGCGAGTCGGGGCATATGTCTAGAGAATGCCCCCAGGGTGGCGGCGGTGGCGGAAACTGCTACAAGTGTGGTGAGAGTGGGCATATGTCTAGGGAATGCCCCCAGGGCGGTGGGGGTGGAGGTGGAGGTGGCAGAAATTGCTACAAATGTGGTGAGAGTGGGCATATGTCCAGGGAATGCCCTCAGGGTGGCGGGGGTGGTGGCGGCCCAAAATCTTGTTTCAAATGTGGAGAGAGTGGGCATATGTCTAGGGAATGCCCTCAGGGTGGCGGGGGTGGTGGTGGTGGCCCAAAAAGTTGTTTCAAATGTGGTGAGACAGGGCATATGTCTCGGGAATGCCCCCAGGGCGGGGGTGGTGGTGGAGGTGGAGGTGGCAGAAATTGCTACAAGTGTGGTGAGAGTGGGCATATGTCTAGAGAATGCCCTCAGGGTGGGGGCGGCGGCGGCGGTGGTGGTGGCAGAAGTTGCTACAAGTGTGGTGAAAGCGGTCATATGTCTCGGGAATGCCCGCAAGGTGGTGGTGGTGGAGGTGGAGGCGGAGGCTTTGGTGGTGGTGGTGGTGGTGGTGGTTGGGGGTCTTCAGGAGGTACCCAATCAACTGGCTGGAGCAGTGGTAATCAAACAGGGGGTGGTTGGGGAAGTAAGCAAGCCTCAGATGCAGGTGAGAAGAAAGGTGATGCACAAGGAAGTGGATGGAGCGGTGGTGCAGGAGGAGGAGGTTGGGGTGGTAGTTCAAAGACTTCTGATGCACAAGGAAGCGGCTGGGGCGGCGATCAAACAGGTGATTTTGTAACCTTTCATAGATTTGTTTTCTATTAAGCAACTTATAATATATATTTGCTGGTGCAGGAGGAGGAGGAGGAGGATGGGGTTCTAATAAGAAGAAGGATGATGCAGCAGCAGAAGGAAGTGGTGGCTGGAAGAAGGGAGGATGGTCATAACAAGTTTAACAGGTCAGCTCAGCTCAGCTGCCTAATCCATTTCAATTTATTATACGTATTTAACTCACATCCCAATCAATGTTTATGTTTACAGATGGATGTTTGGTGAAGACGTTAATTATGGAGGCTTTTTATCGCTTAGCTTGAATTTTCGAATATAATATTTAAACCTGGTTGTCGAATTTGGTTTTGATTCTAGGTGTTGTACTCCCTCAACTTTTGAATTTATTTATGGATGATGAAACTTGCTTGTTTATATGTATGCATGTTTCTAATTTGGCATTATTGCTTTGAATCATGGTTTAGTTGCTTAGTGAAATACTCTACTCTACGTGGACAAGTCACCTGATCTTGATATGAGGTGTTGTACTCCCTCATTGACAAGTACGATGACATAGGTAAATTCATGAGTTAGATTAAATTTGACAGATAAAAAAAGTGGAATAACACATCTATCCAAGAATAAGATGATATCGACTGACTGCCGACGTTATCAATGTCGGCTTTTCTACGTCAATAAGTTTGACACCATGAAATGGACCATATCAAACCAATAGTACTATTTACCGTATTTGTAATCATTGTTGTATACACAATTTTATCTCTAATCCTTTAATCATTTTTTTGTAAAAAAATGTATTTTTTTTATAGAGAAATTAAGGTGTTCTTTGTTTAAAAAAAACCTCTTTAGACTACTTTTTGCTGCGCGACGCAGCACAAGCGCGCACAACACTTGCTTCCTCACATCAAATTGTTTTTTAGAAGACTTCAGACTACAAAACCTTTACGTGTTCTGTGCAGCACAATATTTGATTTGTCTCTTCAAACCTCTTTAGCTTTTATTTTTTCCAACTGGTTTTTTTTAGAATATTGGTATAGCTCTTTTTTCTAAACTTTGATTTTTTTGAACTTTGATTTATGAATTTGATACAATTTCTTTTTATAGTTTTTACAATTTTTTATAACTTGATTTAAAAGAAAAGAACTTTGATTTTTTTAATTTTTTTTTACCGTTTCTGTTAATAATATTTTCAGTTTCGGTTACATCTTTTTTAATAGGTTTAATTCTTTTACGAACTTTGTAGATATTGTTTGTAATATTTTCTTAATTTTTTTTATTATTTTTTTTTATGTTTTATTAAAATTAGTTTTTTTTTAGAATAAAAGTATAGTTTCTTTTACATTTTTTAGATTTTTTTAAAAGTTTTATATTTTTGTTTTTTTATATGTTTTTTTAGTATTCTTTTCATTTTTAAAACTAGAATTATTAAAATTTCGATGTTAAGAATTATGTTCAGTTTATGGTTTGTTTAAATTTCAGTTTACTGTAGCAGTTTGTAGATGTTAAAAACAAACATACGACAAACATACTTCTTATTATAGGCTGCAACCGTTTGGTCTACCTCTTATGCTACAGAGGGTTGCAAAGGTGGTCTGCAGACTTCATGAAAATTCGTTTCGAAAAAACAAACAACACCTAAATAATCTAACCACAATTTTTATGAAAGTAACTATTCTCTTCGGATTAGGCATTTTGGAGATGGTTAAAACGGGCCATTCCCACTATTGTAGTCTCTCTCTCTCTCTCTCTCTATATATATATATATATATATATATATATATATATATATATATATATATATATATATATATATCCACACTTAAAAACTGGAATAAGCATTCTGAAAACTAAAATTCAAAACCTGTTGCTATCAAGTTTCGGACACAAATTTTTAAGTTTGTCTACCATAGAAAATACAAGTCTACCATAGAAATAACAAACATGTGAGTTGAGAGTTCTATTGTTTTACTTGCATTTTAGTTTACAAATGATTTTTTGTATTTTGAAATGTCTAGAACAATTTCGAAATACAAGAAACAAGTTCGAAATAACTTAATTTTTGTAGTTATATGTACTTTTAGCCATTATAATTATATAATAACCATATAAATATTTTAAAATATATTACTATCACTCCTCAGAGAGGAAAAAAAATATAGATTACCCATTACAAGTGAGTCCGGAATGGTATCAACAGCCTAGAGTATGAAGAACGTAATCCAAAATATGTAGATCATTTTCGGAATGGTACTAACAGTCAGAATATGAAAAATATTTGTATTTTAATTTTTGCTTATGATATTGTTAAATTAAAGTTTAAATTGATTTGCATTAAACCAATACCCCGTATTATTCCGAAGATCAATTTGTATGGATGTTAAAAAAAGTGGGTTTTATGGACGTATAAATTATTTTCCATCTACAAGAGCTTTCATAATTTTGCTAGATAAATGTAAGCTTTAATTAAATTAAAATTGCTATACATATTTTTTTTATGGTACTATATTTAAATGTTGTTGGATTGTTTTTTAAATTTCAAAAAACTAGATGTTGAATTAAAAAAAAATCAAACATTAAACCACAAAAACACCTATAAAATTAAGAGGATTGTGGAAGATATGGTGGATAATCTATTGACCCACGTTTAAATCGTGACACTACTCAACCTTTGGTACAATTGCCCCACGACGTCTTCTCGAAGATTGAAACAATTTTCACTGTTATGAATGTCAATTACTCGTGCTAAAAATCCAGTCGTTCCGAGTACAAACTCTTCAATCAGGTTAACCACGTCGTTCAGATCATAGGTGCAAATCGCTCCACCTTGATATTCAATAATCATATTATGCATTATAATACATGTATATATCATTCGTTTAATTTTATCAATATCCCTAAGTCATGTAGCGTATTTCACTACATGTCATGTCTGCTTGATGACTCCAAATGCCCTCTTTTTATCCTTTCTAGCATATTCCTGTCTTTTTGTGAACAACTTCGCATTTTCAGTTCGAGGTTGTAACATCCCAAAAATATAGTCCATTTTTTTTTTAAATCATTTAAGAAAACCATAATGCATCCACATCATAATAAAATCACAAGTCATGTATCCGAAATATCGTATCCAATTACTGTATCAAAACCATGTATCAAAATATCAGAGTCTAAAATATCCGAGGCTGAAAACTGTAGTGTGTGTCATGCAGTCATCCCGAGCTCTTCCCCTTACTAGCGGAAGTACTTGAAACCAAAACTGAAAACTATAAGCGTGGAGCTTAGTGAGTCTCCCCAAACTACCACATACCATACACATGTCACACAAACACATCGTGGGCCCCGCCCGGCATCGAGCAAAGCTCGGTATACACATGATCATATCAACAATTACATAAACATAATCACATAATCATAAACATATAAACATAACATTGGGCCTTGCCCGCTACATCGGACCCCGCCCGACATCGGCTTGCCCGGCATCGGGCCCCACCTGGCATTCGACCGCATCGGGCCCCGCCTGGCATCAGACCAAACTCCGGTATACATATAACATATCAACAAGCATATAAAATACACGTAACATAAACATAAATTGGGCCTAGCCCACTACATCGGGCCCCGCCCGACATCGAGCAAAGCTCGGTATACATAAGCATATCAACATATACATACAAACATAAGCACATAACATAAACATATAAACATTCCTCGGGCCCCGCCCGGCATCGGACCGAAGTCCGAAAACATACAAACAGACACATGCAAGAATCACGAAGAAATCAAGCATACAAACATTCCTCGGGCTTTCCCCGACATCGGATCGAAATCCGGAAAAACATATAAACCTGCATCAGGCCCCGCCCGGCATCGGACCGTATGTGATCGGACGATCTTCAATGTCGCTCGATGGCGGCGACTGGAGAGTCACGAACGATGGCCACCACGACGCCACTCCTTCTTCGATCTTCACTGATGCAGCTTCGCTCCCTTCCCTGCCGATCTTCAATGTCGCTCGATGGTTGTATGTGATCGGAGAACGACTGGGTGGATGGTGGCGGTTTCTCCGACTCTAACAGTCGTGGCGGCGCCGGTGGTGAAGGGCGGCATAAGGATCACACACCAACATGCCTTTACTCGGAAATCTGGACGCAACCACCCCCGGTGGTGCACGGTGACGACATCACCAACACTAGCGACAACAGTAGCGGTTAGCGGCGGCGATGTAGTTGCAGAACAAAGGTGGTGTTGGTGGTTCCGGCTGAAACGGCGCCATGGATTGGTCCCCGACCTCGGCTATGGTAAGAATGGCGACAACAAACATATCCCAGTGGTTTTTCCGGCTTTGGCATCGCTGGCGGCGGCTGGAGAGTCACGAACGGCGGCCACCACGACGCCACTCCTTCTTCGATCTTTACTGATGCAACTTGGCTCCCTTCCCTGCCGGTCTTCAATGTCGCTCGATGGTGCTATGTGGTTAGAGAACGACTGGGTGGATGGTGGTGGTTTCTCTGACTCCAACAGTCGTGGCGGCGCCGGTGGTGAAGGGCGGCATAAGGGTCACCGACGGCTGGAGGGGGAACGGGAGGTATAAGGTTGGCGGTTGGGAATAGTTCCCTAGGGTTAGGGTTTGCATTGTTTAAATACCCGGTGACCTATCAAACTTCATTCCATAATGGCAGTAATGGTCCCTCTCCATAAAAATCTTTTCAAACCAAGGCCCATAATTTACTCTTCATACCTCTGCTCCCACAATTCTTTTCATATTATGTCCAACAGTTACCAAACAACCCCTCCTCTACAAATTGTTCTCAAATGAAGTCCATATGTCACCATTCAGCCCCTTAGCTTCCAAAATCTCTCCAAATTAAGTCCCAATAATTTACCAAGTAGTCCTTGCCTTCACAAATATTTACAAAACCAATCCGGAACTTACACTTTTAACCCCCAACTTCTAAATTATGACAGTTATCACCTCGAAACCAACACCTTGCTATATAATTATTGATTTTGGGGCTACTATTCGTTCATTACCTTGTCTATTTACTTATTTAATAAACAGTGTGTTACAACTCTCCCCCACTTAAATTAGATTTCGTCCTCGAAATCATTCCTTACCATTCATTACACGCTAAACCACTCAAGTAACATGGCCACAACCCCGAGCATATCCCCAACCTTCCCAAGGCATTCTAAATCATCCCTCGCAGGGTTCTAAAACCCGGAAATGAACGAATTTCTTGCAACAAGATCACATCTACTCCGTCTGAAATCTGCAGTCTCGAGGTGGTCTGACTCCCTGACAGACCGCTCATACTTAATCATTATCGTTGAATCCAGTCCACTTGCCTCTCAACTGACTACTCAACTTCTGCTAACTCGAGGTTCCCACTGGAAAACAGGATCACAGATCTAATTATCCATGCAGACCACTTATACTTGGCCAAGGCTTAGATAATCCC